AAGAATGTATTTTGATAATACCCATTCTAACAGATATGAGGAGATATCTTATTGTGATTTTAATTTGCATTTCCCTAATTATTATGTATGTTGAGCAGCTTCTCATGTATCCATTAGCCATTTGTATATCTTATTTGGAAGAAATGTCTATCTCGGTCCTCTTCCCAATGAATTAGATTATTTGTTTTACTTCATATTCTTTTTTTTTCCTTCTTTTTTTTGCTATGCATTGACTCTGGCTTGGACTTCCAAAAGTATGTCGAATAGGAATGGTGAAAATGAACACCCTTGACTTGTTCCTGAATCTTGAGGAAAGGATTCAGCTTTTCACTAGTGAGAATGATGTTAGCTATGGGTTTTCATATAAGACTCTATTATATTAAGGTATGCTCTTCCTATATGTAATTTGTTGAAAGCTTTTATTGTGAAAAAGTCTTGAACTTTGTCAAATGATTTTTCTGCATCTACTGAGAGGATCATATGATTGTTATCCTTCATCTTGTTAATGTGGTATATCACATCTATTGATTTGCATATGTTGAACCATTTTGCATATGATGCAAGGGATAAATCCCACTGATCATGGTCTCTTTAACATGCTATTGCTAGCATTGTGCTGAGAACTTTTACACTTATATTTATTAGGGTAATTGTTTGCATTTTTCTTTTGTCATAGTACCTTGTTTGATTTTCATATCAGGGTAAGCTGGCCTCATAAAAATGAGTTTGGAAGTGTTTCCTCATCTTCAGCTTTTTGGAAGAGTTTGTGAAGAACTGCATTAACTCTTTAAATGATTGGTGGAATTCACCAGTGAAACCAACTGGTACTGAGTTTTTCTGTGTTGGGAGTGTTTAATTACTGCTTTAGTTTCCTTAGTTGTTATTGGTCTAATTAGGTTTTCTATTTCTTCATGAGTCAGTCTTGGTAGGTTGTACATTTCTAGGAATATATCCATTTCTTCTAGGTTATGCAATTTGCTGGCATATAACTGTTTATAGTAGCCTCTTATGATACTTTGTATTTCTGTGATATCAGTTGTACCATTTCCTTTTTCATTGATAATTTCATTTGTGTCCTCTATTTTTCTTTGTTAGTCTAGCTAAAGGTTCTGAATTTGGCTATGTATTTACCTTTACCACTGAATTTTATACTTTTTGTTACTTGTCTCCTTTTCATTTCAACTTAAAGAACTCCCTGTAGCATTTCTTATAAAGCAGGTCTAATGGTGATGAAATCCCTTAGCTTTTGTTTAGCTGGGAATGTCTTTATCTCTCCTTCATTTCTGAAGAACAGTTTTGCTGGGTATAGCATCCTTGGTTGGATTTTTTTTCTTTCAGTACTTTGAGAGTATCATCTCATTCCCTCCTGGTCTGCAAGATTTCTGCAGAGAAATCTTCCAATAGCCTTATGGGGTTCCCTGGTATGTGATAAGTCATTTGTTTTCATGATGCTTTAAAAATTCTCTCATGTTTGTCTTTTAACATTCTGATTATAATCTGTCTCAGAGCAAGCTTCTTTGGGTTGATGTTGCTTAAGTCCTTTCAGTTTTCTGTACCTGGATGTCCATATGTCTCCTAAGATTTGGGATATTGTCAGCTATTATTTCTTAAAATAAACTTTCTTTCACTTTTCTTTCTGGGTCTTCCAAAATACAAATGTTCATTCATTTCATGGTGTCCAATAATCCACATAGGCTTTTTAATTCTTTTTTCTTTTTGTTCCTCTAACTGCATGATTTCAAATGATCTGTTTTTGAGTTCTCTGATTCTTATTCTTTCTTCTGCTTGGTCAAGCTGTTTTTGAAGCTCTCTATTGGATTTGTTGGTTCTGTTTGATTCTTTTTATGTTTCTATTTCTTTATTAAACTTCCATTTTGTTCATGCATCACTTTTCTGATTTCATTTAATTGCCTAGTTCTCTTGCATTTCATTCAGTTTCTTTAAGATGATTATTTTGCATTTTTTATCAGGCAACTCATAGATATCCATTTCTTTGCAGTTAGTTGTTAGAGCTTCATTAGTTTCCTTTGATGATCTCATATTTTCTGATTCTTTGTTATCCATGTAGTTCTGCATTGGTGTCTGCATTTGAAGGAGCAAAAAACCTCTTCCAGTCTTTATGGGCCAGTTGAAGCAAGTAAAGACCTCCTGTCTGTTCTCTGGGCTCATAAGGTTACCTCCAGAATAACAATCTACTGAGTTTGAACCAGTTCTGTGGCTGTCACTAGGTCCACAGTGGGACCAATGGTTGATGGGCTTGTTACCAGGGACTTGGATGGGTATGGAACCTGTCTGGTCTCTGGTTGGGAGAGACAGCCTTCAGTATCTTTTCCAGTAGTGTGGCACTGGGACAAGGTCCACTGAGGCCCACACTTGGGTCTATTATCAGGTATACAGATGGGAGGGATGCTGCTTGGTCACTGAATGGGTCTCTGTGTGGGCATGACTGCCCTTGGGCCATGACTGAGAGAGGCTGGAACTGAGCCCCAGGGCTGTTTCAGGTTCCACAGCCAAGACTGAAGTCTTCAGGACTGTCTCTGGAGACACAAATGTGCATGTCTCATGCCAGGTCCCTAAACAGGATGGATTATCCTTGACCATGTCAGGAGGGTCTGGAGCCAAGTTTAGGACCCCTTGAAGACCTCTAGGGGGAATATACAGGAGTTTCTGCAGCCTGTATTAGCAGGTATGCTCATGGACTGCAGCTACAAGGGAGCCAGAGTCAAGTTTAGGGCCTTTCAGGATCTGCAGGGGCACAGATGGTCTACTCTCCTGCAGAGTCCTTGTGCCAGCAGGACTCTTCATGGACTGAGACTGGAATGGGCAGGAACCCAGCTATAGGACCCTTTCAGAATCTGTGATCTAACCAAGTTTGTCAGGCTTCCCTCCAGGGACTCTAGGCTATGACCAAGGGGGTCTAGAACTGATTTATGAGCTACTTCAGAGTCCACAGTCAGAGCCAAGGTCTGTGTGTCTATTACCCAGTGCATGGGTGGGCATGACTGCTCCCAAGTCCCCTGGTGAGTGGTGATAGTGATAGAACCAAAACCAAATGGTGTTGTGGCTGAGTCCTCAGAATATGGAGCTATTCCCATGTCTGTGGTTAGGATCGTGGTCTGTGAGTCAGTCTCCTAGGTGCAGGCCTGCCTTCTCAGGATGTCTCTTCTCAGTCATTGACTACACCAGGTTTCACAACCTGTTACCTGGATCCCAGAGCTTCCATTAAGGTACTTCTATCTGTGGATGACTGCCAAAGTTAAGTGTGAAGGATATCTCATTTGGCCATCTTGTTGACCTGAATTCCTTTCTGGAGACTAAAGGAAAATCCATGTCTGCTGACATTTCAGTTATTGGCAGAATTTAGTTCCATGCACTCATAAGACTGAGGTTCCCATTTCCTTGCTGGCTGTCATCCAGGGAGTGATCTCAGCTTCCAGAGGCTGCCTGCATTCCTTGGCCCACGGCAACCCTATTTCATCTTTAAAGCCAGAAACAGTGGGTCTAGTCCTCATGATATTGCATCTTTTCTCTCTCTTCTGCATCCCCTTCTTTTGCCATATCTCCTTCACTGACTTTTTGGTCTACCTCTCTGATTTTAAAGGCCTGTGCAATTGTATTTGGCCCACATGAATAACCCAGAATAATCTCACAATTTTTAAGATCAGTTCATTAGCAGCCTTAATTCTGACTACTTGCCATGTGATATAACATATTCACAGGTCCGATACCAGGGGGTAAAGATAATGGTTCCCACCAGCTCACCACTAGCTTGACTAAGGGATGCTACCTGATGAAAGGGAAATTCTTCTGAAAATAGTAGGCTCAGGCCTCACATTGTTCTCTCAGCCCTCTGGAAACCCCAGGGAACTGGTTCAAGGCCCCTCAAATTATCAGCACAAGGGTTAACCTGAGAGGTTAAGACTTTATGCCGCCATCCTTTCTTCTGCATTTTACGCATAGGAAGTAAAGGCTCAGAGTCATTGCTCAAGGTCACAAACTCAGCCAATGACAGAGCAATGAAAATACCTTATACTCATTCATTCATTTATCCACTCAGTAACACTTGTTAAGCCCACCATGCTAAGGGATTAGGGAAACAAACATGAACTAAACTTTGTCCACCCACTTCTCGGGGATTCCTGTTCATTTATCTAGGATATAAACGCAATAAACATGCTTGCATGTTGATGGTGGGTCAGTAAAATTTCTTGCACAAGTTTACATAGAAATTTGACTTTTCTCTAAGCAACTGTTTCAGCTCAAAATCAGCTATAAATATGGTAGGAGATGACTCAAAGCCAGACTGTGTGTCCTTAGGGAATTCATTTAGTAATATTATTTACCTGATAGAGCTATTGTGAGCAGGATTGAGTTGATACAGGCAAACCACTTGGCACTGGCATGTAACAAGCACTTAATAAGGGATGGTGTCATCATTATCATTATTTAACCTCCTTGAGCCTCAGTTTCATAGTTCATTAAGTGGGTACAATAAAAACCATCTCATGGGGTGATTAAATGAAGAAGTATAGATACAACACATGGAGCACACAATTTGTATATCCTCTCCTCCCCAGAAACCTCACTACTAGACTAATTAATTCTGTAGTAATTCAAAGAGAGTTTGTTAGGGAGAAGAAATGTGGCAGGGGTCAGGATTTCAGGGTTCCTTAGTGGATCTGAAACTACCCTCCTGTGCGACTTTGGGAAAGGAGCTTGGCCTTTCTGATCCTCAGCTTCCATGAAGAACAGACTACTCTAGAAAATAGTCTTTGTCCCTTGCATTGTTTTTAAACTACCAGTTAAGCCATCCTCTAGGAATGTAATCTTCCAAAATGTGCTAGATTTGCAAATCTTCAACATTCAGTTTTAGAAGTCAGTCTCTTTGCTAACCTCATTTTATTTTTGCCAACGCAGCTGGTCTCCATAGGGAGATCTTGGACAAACCAAAGACTGACACAAGAAACATGAAGCCAGATGTGACCTGGAAAGGTACCTACGCAAATGAGAGGGAGCAGCCTGAGAGAGGTTGGCACCTTCTTGTCCAGAGCTGCTTCCCTGAGCAGCAGCAGCAGCCTCAGGGCGTCAGAAGAAGCAGTGTGAAGCCAAAACCATAAGACCTGTGGGGCAGGTAGTAGAAGGTGGCTCTTATTAATATTCCTCACATCCAGTGCTGCACACCCACCCCTGGAGCCCAGTGGCCCCATGTTAGTGCCTGGCAGGGCTCTGTGTTGACAAAGGCTGTGGAGCTACCCATCCCATGGAAAGACACCAAGAACAGCAAGAGGGGGTCCAGAAAGAAAGGCCTCTAACCAGATCCAGAACCATTCACAGAACTAGGCCAGGCTTGAGCAGGAAGGGTGGGTGGCGTGGCAGGGAGAAGCCAGCACCCCTAAGCAGGAACATGTCCTTACTCACCTCAGAAAGAGTTCTTGAAAAAGAGACTCAAGCTATCCCAAATAATAAGCATTTATTGTCAGGATGCATATTCAACAGAAGAGACTGGATCAAAAAAGCAATCAGATTGTTGTCTAAAATTTAAGGCATCACCAATCCTGGCACTTTGCTATTTGTTCTCTCCTTCTATTTATGCCTTGTCATTCCTCATCGCTGACAAACTGGTATGTTTCTATATTTTCCAAGTTAGTTTCCAAAGGGAGAAAATCTGGCTGGCCTGGATAATTTCCATTGCCGTTACTTCTCAGCCTAGTCTTTATTATGGTTCAATGGCTAGCCTGTGAATCAGCTGCCCTCAAGTGAAATATTTCTAATAATCTAGTAAGTCTTTATTCAAGGAACTCCCCAGGGGTCGCTTGTTGTGGGTGGGACTCGCACCCTTTGAAGGTGGTGGTGAGCAGCAGGCACCCTGATGAGCGTGTCTCATGAACATCCATATAATGAACATAGAGACAACAGTGGGTCAATGCCTACTAAACCCTGGAGTCTCGGGAAGTTATCATTTCTGGACCTCAAAACCCAATCAATGGCAGCACCCAGAAGTTTGGGGGTCCCACTTAGGGTATCGCAGGGACTTGATACCTTGGCCCTTATGCATGACAGGAAGGAAAGCAAAAGAGAAAGCAAACAGCAAGACCCAAAGGGACAGGTTCGGAGAGGACACAGCTGCTCTGGCCTTCGGGGTTACCCTTGAGAAGCAGGCAGACCTGGGGTCAATATGCAGCTCAGCTGTGTGCCCTTGAGCAAGTTATTTAGTCTTTCTACCTCTCAGTGTCCTTATCTACAAAATTACTCTAGGTAAACCTACCTTATACATAGACAGCTAAGTTTGGGGTCATTCTTTTCATCATTACTGGTATGCAAGCAGTGTTTAACTCTTAAAGGCAGTATCATTCATTCTGTGATAGGAAATGGATTGAACTTGGAACAGGGAGGAGGAGGGACTTGCAAGGCATTGCTTCCAGAGCCGAAATGTGAAGGCAACAGGGAAATCATTCAGGTTCCCTGGGGTCATGGGCTCTAGAACCTGTTTCTTGTACAGCCATCCTGGGGACCAGCTGGTACCCTGGTATGAGAGAACCAAGAGTTAAAATGTCAGAGTCCAGGCCAGTGCCAATTCAGACAAAACTTGGATGATGTAACTCTGAAGGGAAAGAAAGGTGCTTCCTCAAACACCATTGGAGGGGCATGCCCAGTATCCTGTTAAATTGGTGGGGACACAGGAGCCCAGAAATAACACTGGGGGAGAGATGCCCCTTTCTTCCTCTCTATGCCCCATCACCAGATGGGATGGCCTGATCCCAGAGCAGTCAGAAAGGAAGGTATGATGCCTGGAGGGCACACAACTCAACATAATCTGTGTTCAAGACGTAGGTCATGTGATAGTTACAGAAGCATGTGATAGGAGAAAACGGGTTGAGAGTGGATTTAGGAGATGGCCAAATTTCTCTCCAAGAACTATTTGCAGGCAGGACTGAATCTTTTGGACTGCATTCTTGAAATTCAGGATAGGAGCAGAGTGGATATTGGCCATTCTGTTAATCTGGGTATGTAGGTACTATAAACAGCTTTAACCTAAAAAATCGAAGTGATATGAATCTCATGCATGTCCCTTAATAGGGAAAGAGGTTATTGTATTATTATTCTGAGGTGGCTATAAGGGCTTGGGTCCAGAAGGGATGATCCTGTGGCTTTGTACACAGTTCACCAGGAAGTCCATTCAGGGATTTGTAGAGGTTTCACAGATTCAGCTGCATTTAGAGAGTGAACTATTATCCCGCTTTATTTGAACAGTGCTCTGATCACCTTATTGTAGACTAACTCACTTTCTCAGAACTGCCAAAGAATCTATAATAGAGACTGCAGAGCCAACTCCATGCTGCCTCTGGGAATTTGAAGTTACCATGCAGCTTTGCCAATAACAAGATGCAACAGAGCATGCTCAGAGCAGTAGGGCCGAGCAAACCGTGAAGGAAAGATGGTTTCCATTCAATCTAGTAGCTGATAACTTTCCCCGACCTGTGATAATCTTACCTTGGTACCTAATTCCTCACCTGCTGTATGTCTGAAGTTTCATCCTCCTCAAATCCTTTGCCCAGACTTAAGGTATGTGTGACAATATTCAATCTGCAAAAAGGAAAATCATAATGGAATTAAAGCTCAAATTCTGCTCTCTGTGCAGCTGTGCTATTAAATTTGGCATTTCAGCTTTATTCATGAACCACTTAACACCCCACACAGCAGGATGTTTTGGGTGACTATAATGAAATTCATATAAAGAATACAATATAAATATCAGTCTAATTCATATAGATTAATTTAGTTCAAGCATAATTCAGTTTTCTTGAATTTGCATTGCGAGTAATTTATTATTTTCTTGGTAAAATAAATCTCTCTCACTTTTCCCTAGCTTGTACAGGGAAATGGGCAAGATGTGGTCACCTGGAACTTCCCTTGCCATCAGTAGAAAATTCTAGAAGCTGCCAATTAATGAAATGGTTCCAAATGAATGGGTTATTGAATAAGGGAAGAATTGCCTATAGGGAGATATTTTAGAATGTAAAGAGCTTACATTGGGAACATGAGCTGGGAAAAACATAATCTTGGGCATGTTGGCTATGTTGGTGTCAGGCTGAATTCAACATGTTGTTGTGACTCTCCTGGACAAAGGTTACAGGAAGAAAAGAACTAACATTTTGTGTACCAGGCACTGTGCATGGTTTATTAAATACATTATTTTTTTTGAGGTTATCTTTAAACTTAACCTCTACGTTTTCTCACTTATGCAATTGAGCATAAAAACAGCACTTGCCTCATAGAATGGTAATATAATTACGTAGCCAACTTTGGTCAGATGTTCCTCCTTGATCTAATCCACCACATACTGGAATGGGTACATATGGCAAAACCCATTACTAGAGATGCCCCTATGAACATGGGGAGGGAAGGCAAAGCATTCCTAGGGGAAACAGAACTGTGATGAGTTCTACAAAAAACTACAGAAGGTGCCTTCTAGAGTAAATCTGGACATGGCTCAATAATCCTTAGTTTCCTTATCTCTAAAATTGGGGTAATAATAGAACCTTTTTATTAGAGTTATCTTGATGATTAAGTAAGAAATATAAAGCATTTTATATAATACTTATGCACAGCCAACTCTTTCCAGTCACACTTCAGCCAGTTAACTTCTGCACTCCTTTCAGGTACCATCTGAGCCATCCCTTCTTTTAAAAATCTCTCTGCGACTCCCAAGTTCTGCTTTAGGTTCTCAACAGATCTTGCTATTTTATCCTCATCATTACCCAGCATGATGCTTATCACACTCTACTATAATTGCTATTCAATTATCATCTCCAGAATTAGCATCCGAGTACCTTAGGGGCAAGGAATAGGTCTTATGCACTATTTCATCCCCAGTGCCCAGAACGATGCTTAGTTGGCAATGTGAACTTAATAAATATTTATTTAATGAAGAATGTTGAATCTTTAGCATCATTATATCATCAAATTGTTTTCATTGTTTCCTAGATCAGAAAACTGAATCTTGAAAAAGTTAATTTACTCTACTTTACCCCTTGGGGAAACAGGGGAGCAGGATTTGTATCCAGAGCTCACGAGTCCTAAAACCATGCTTTTCTCATTATGTCATGATGCCTCCTTAGACCAACACCTGTTGAGGATCTTTTTTGTGCTGGATGTAACACTATATATTTCCATATTATTTTGTTTAGATTCTGGAACAAGCTTGGGAGGCAGGTGTTTTGGTTTGCCATATGAAGAAACTGTGGCTCAAAGAAAAAAATTACATGTCCATGGTCACAAGGCCAGGTGGCAGAACTCAGCTCCAGCTCTTCTCTATCCCAGAAAAACTAACTGTGATCACAATTCAGGTACCCAGCAAACCCCAAAAGCCAAACCAGCAAATCTCAGCAATCAGATCCAACATGAGAGATCGCCAGGCTGAAATGGATCAAACTTCTGAAATAGTCTGACAGGCTTTGTGGATCTCAGTATTTTGCCTCACTTTCCTGCCTCCCAGCAGCAGTGCTGTGCCGTTCTGGGGAGCTATTTATAGATCACCTGAAATATGTTTTAAGGATAGAGCCTATGAGCTTGTTGCAAAGTATTGTGGGAAATTCCTTTTCCAATGGCTAGGGAAAATTGATGGGGCAAAGGAAAATAAAATTGCTGAAAAAAAATACAATGCTTAGAGTGTTTGAAATTCATTTTAAAATTAGTATTTTTCTCTTCTCTTTTAAACATTTCTATTTAGCAACTGAATGTTCATTAAAACACTTGGGAAAAGGTAATACCTTACTTAAATAATGGTTTTCAGGTAATGTGCAATTTTATAAGTATTACCCAAGCTTCCTTCCTACCCTCTTCTTTTCATGGTTAAAGGAAAGGAAGATTGAGCATCACAATTGGAAAAATAATAAAGAGCTTGGTAGCATTTTCTCAACAGTCAGTTCCTGTTATGTCAAACCAGCTTTTCTTTAGCTAACAAAATGCAGCTGGAAGTTCTAAAATAATTATCCCAAAACAACAATAACTCTATTATTGTATATTGAAAACATCATTGGTTAAAAATGAAATAGTGACTCCACCTCATAAATGTTTGAAAACATAAAATATAAAAGGTTAACCTAGAGTCTAAACCTTCATTTGTTTGGTATCTTGTCAAACATCCTAAAGAATAAAATAAAAAAGAAACCACCAAACACTGCCTTCAGATTGTCCCTCAAAAAGAGAAGGCAGCGCAGGTACACCCCAAACTCTAAGAGTACAACTCCACAACAGCACAGCGCTGAGGAAAGTCCCCTGTGACACATTCAAGGAGACCTGGTGTCTGAGCCAGTTTGGGCCACGGTAGCAAATACTGTATCAGCAACTTAAACACAGATATTTATTTCTCCCAATTGTGGAAGCCAAAAGTCTGAGGTCAGGGTTCCGGCATGGTCAGTTCTGGAGATTCCCCTCGGTTTGCAGATGGCCATCTTCCTCACAAGACAGAGAGCATAATCAACTCTCGTGTCTCTTCTTATATAGGCATTAATCCCATTCACAAAGATTTCACCCTCTACCTACTATCCACCTCCAAATGCCATCACTTTAGGAACTAGGTTTCAACATATGAAGTTTGGAGGGACACAAGCAGTCAGTTCATAGCAGCTGGGTTCTAGAATCATCTTGGATGCCAACTTGTTCTGTCACACCCCTCTCAGGGCCCCTGTTTCCTTACTTGCAAATGCCCTCTTACATCTCTTTGGGAGGTTCCGAATGCCAAGGAGAGATAATGAGCTGCAGGAAAAGAATTGTGGACACTGAGGAAGAAAGGACAGGGCTTTTCAGTACACCAGGGGAAGTGTCAGGGCAAATGGGATTTCAGATGAAGGTAGACTCACGCCCCCCAGGAAAGAGGACCAGCACATGAGAACTGGACCCAGATCAGGAAAGAGAGCACCAGACAATGACAAGAGGATGGATGTGTTGAAAGAGAGCAACAGGGTAGCGGGAGAGCACAGAGGGCACCAGAGGCCCCCAGCCCTCTCCTCTGATTCAACCTCTACAAAGCCACATGTAAATGTTTTTACCACCCGATTAGGATTATGGCACCTCCCTGGGCAGAATCTATTAATAATTACCTATTGCCTTCAGTATTTTAAAGGGAAAAGAAAAAAAAAACTCAACTACTCTTCTTCCCCAAAATTTCTTATCCATGATTTCAAAATTCCTCTCTGAATTCCAAAGTTTTTTCATACATATCTGGTAAAAAAAAAAAAAAACTTAATCCAAACTAGGATAAGAATCTTTATGTTCTTCCTTGGGCGTCACTATTCCATGTCAAAATACTAACGGGATTATTGCAAGGTGCTTTCTTAGGTCCCCCTGGGATATACTTGATATACACAATACAATTACTGTATGACTTTCTGAAATCTGAAAAATTCCAACATCACAAGCACATCTGGCTCTGAGTTTTCTGGATCCAGATTGTGGATTTGCATTTTCTTATCAAGACGAAGTGGTCTCCAGTGGCCAAGCCTTTGCCAACTTCAGCCTCTACTACCTCGCACCCAGCTATCTCCATCATGCTGTATTCTAGATGTAGTGAGTCCCCATCATAGCCCCACACTACAGTTTTGCACCCCATTATAAGAAATTTTGCATAAACCTTCCCCTTTGCAAGGAGTATTTGTAACTCACCTCTTGATCTAGAAAAATAACTCCACACCCTTCAAAGCCCATTCCAAAGGCTTCTTCCTAAAGTCATCCCCAGCCTGTCCCTGTCCCTGCCATCTCCTGTGTCCTGGACAGATTTGGTAACTAGCTGTTCTGTGTACTTTATCATATATACGTTATAGCAAGGGCCATGTTGATCATGGGGCCTGCCTTACCAGTCTCTGACCTCAGTGCCTGGCAGAGTTCCTGGCACTAGGGAGTGCCTGGTGAGTTATGGTAGCCACTCAGCAAAGAGCAATCCACTCACCTCTCATTACATGAACAGATGAACGGACCATCTGCATCAAAGTCATTCTCACCCAGGACACATAAGGACACAGAAGCAAAGGCTAAACTCTGTAACCTCCTTCCCTGGGGCACAGGAATCATCATTCTCCCCACATGAGCTCAGTCCTGCACCATCTCCCTTTCTGCCCACACCAGCAGGGGTAACTCCAGGACATATCATTCTACCACTTTCTCCCCAAAGCTGCAAAAATGGGACATTCTTCCCTTCTCTAGGCCCTCTAAATAAGGAAAGAGGCCAAGCCGTCTCCTACCAATGGTGGCTGGGCATGCAAATAAGACAGTTCCTCAGGAGCCTGGATGGAAAATGTTCAGCTACCTTTGCGGCCACCATTCTGAGATTCAAATATAGATAGGGTAGGAATCAGAGCAGAATTCGAAACAGTGATAGTGGCATAGAGAGTCAAAGCTTGCAAAGGACTCATACTTACATGTTCTCATTTAAGTAAATTCTCAAAGTAACTTTGTATCATAGATACTGTTATCAATAGATGAGGAAACAGGCTCACAGAGAATAAGCATTAGCAGGAAAAGCTCCAAAGTTAGTATAAAGAAGCTAAGGTTAAATGCAGATTTACAGGGAAAGCACTCAGATTTGA